AAAAAAAAAAAAAAAAAAAGGAGGGAAAACTAAGTAGTGTTTAGGGATGCATGTCTGAATAATAAAAGTGTAAAGGAAAGTATGAAAATTATTATTTATTTGTGTGTTTTTTGTTTGAGAAAGGAAAGTATGAAAATTATTGTTTGTGTGTTTTTTGTTTGTTTGAGACAGGGTCTTACTCTGTTACCCAGACTGGAATGCTGTGGTGAGATCATAGCTCACTGCAGTCTCAGTACCCTGGTCTCAAGCAATCCTCCTGCCTCAGCCTCCCAAAATGCTGGGATTAGAGGTGTGAAAAACCATGCCCACCCAAGAAAATTACTGCTATAAGAGGAAATAGTAGTTACATTTGGAGGAAGGAGGGAAACAGTGTGAGAGGTGGCATAAGGGGGCTTGTGAGGTGCTGGCAAAGTTCTACTTCTTTACTTTGTGTGTTACATTTAACAATAAAAGTCCTTTTTAAAAGATATAATACAGAAGACTCAGGAAGAACACAAGTTACTACTTAAATTATTTTAATTAAAAATAAGTTTTTTTTAACTTTAATAATTTTAGCAAACTTATTAAAACATGTAAACTTTACCTAAACTGCCAGGCAATAACTACAAAAAATCATAAATACTCTATAAATTAACCTACAAAAAAACACGAAGTAACATGTCACTCCAATTTTTCCCAGTTACTATATTTACAACTAATAACATTAAAATAAATGTGATGTGTGCTCAAGATTTTTGTTAATACTTATTATTACACACAGATATACGAACTTTTTTAGTATATGACAGTCTCCTATCCAGTACTAACCAGTTTAAATATGTTTAAATTTTGTAAAAAGCAACTAAATGCATATATTTAAATGCAATTATGAGGGAGAATGCCCAAAAAACTGGAATTAACTTTTGGAGGGCAGGCCCTTGTAGTACAGGCTTCACCTGCTAGGTAAGTGTTCCAGGAGCCCATTGGTTTTTTTTGTTTGTTTGTTTTTGAGTTGGAGTCTCACTCTGTCGCCCAGACTGAAGCCCAGTGGCCGCTCCCGGCCACCGCAGCCTCGACCTGCTGGGCTCCGGCGATCCTTCCACCTCAGCCTTCCAAGTAGTGGGAATTACAGGCACGCGCTACCACGCCCAGCTGATTTTTTGATTTATTGTAGGGATGAGGTCTCGCTGCAGGCAATCCACTCACCTCAGCCTCCCAAAGGCACAGGATTACAGGCTGAGCCACCGAGCCCGGCGCCCACTGGTTTTTATCTGAAGTTCTGACAAGGCTGCGACAAGATTTGCGAAAGAAACATCCCAACTTGTGGCAAACAGGCGACTGATACTAGTGCTGAGTGTTTAGCAGTTTTTGACCAAAACACATGACCCTCGTGCCCTACCCTCCCTGTTCACCTGATACCACCCTGAGCCATTGTTGTTGCTTTTTTTTCTTGGATGAAAAAAGTCCTCAAAGGGAAACGTTTTGCTAAAGTGGAAGAGATAAAACCAAAAATCACAGAAGCACAAAAAAGGCTTCAAAATTGACAAGTTCAAAAACTGTTCTGAGCAATGGAAAAAGTGTCTCCATAGGTGTAGTGCATCAAATGGAGAGTACTTTGAAGATGACTGAAGTTTAAATACACAATTTTTTATAAATAAATTTTGGGTTTTTTGGCTCCTCCCTCATATGAACACTAATATCTCTTTGGTGGTAGAATATGGGTCAATTAAGTTTCTTTACTTGTTAAAACAGAGAAGTTTTAAAATGAGACAAGCACTCAAAATCTAAGATAATGGGAAATACATAATATGGGTCTAGCATTGTTTTAGTTCAACAATTTATATACAGATGGTTCAATTTTTTTAAAAGGCATTTAAATCTTAAAAAAGTGAAAGAAATATCCACAGACAAGTACACACTAATGTCTCTGAGGCTTTTGGCAAAATAAATGGATTAAAGACCTAAACATAACTGAAACTATAAAGTTCCTAGAAGAAAACATAGAGGAAAAGCTACATGACATTAGATTTGGCACTGATGTCTTGGGTATGACTGCAAAAGCACAAGTAACAAAAGAAAAACATAGACAAATAGAATATTAAACTTAAAAACTTCTGCACAATAAACAAAGCAATCAACAGAGTGAAAGGCAATCTATCAAATAGGAGAAAATATTTGCAAATCACGTATCTGATAAGTGGTTAACAACTATAAAATATAAAGAACTACAACTAAACAACAACAATCCAACTAAAAAATAGGAAAAGAGATTTAAAAAGACATTTCTCGGGCGGGCTCGGTGGTTCAACCTGTAATCCAGCGCCTTTGGGAGGCCGAGGTGAGTGGATTGCCTGAGCCCACGTGTTCAAGACCCGCCTGGGCAATTTGGCAAGACCTCATCTCTACAATAAATCAAAAATCAGCCGGGCGTGGTAGCGCACGCCTGTAGTTCCAGCTTACTCGGAAAGCTGAGGCGGAAGGATCGCCGGAGCCCAGTGGGTCGAGGCTGCGGTGGCC